ACAGATCTAAATAGAAAATTCTCAACAGAGAAATCCCAAATGGCTGAGAAACACAGAAGTGTTCAACATCCTTAGCCATCAGGGAAATGTAAATCAAAAGGACTTTGAGATTCCATCTTACACCTATCAGAATAGCTAAGATCAAAAACACATGTGACAGCTCATGCTGGTGAGGATGTGGAGCCAAAGGAACACTCCTCCATTGCAGGCAGGAATACAAACTTGTACAGCCACTTTGGAAATCAATATGGCAGTTTCTCAGAAAATTGGGAATGAGTCTACCTCAAGACCCAGCTATACCACTCCTGGGGAAATATCCAAAGATCACCCCATTCTACCACAAGGGATATATTCATAGCAACCTCACTCATAATGGCCAAAAACTGGAAGCAACCTAGATGTCCCTCAACTAAAGAACGGATAAAGAAAATGTTGCACATTTATGCAATGGAGTATTACACAGCTGTTAAAAAATGACATCATGGACTGGAGAGATGGCTCAGTGGTTAAGAGCACTGACTGCTCTTCCAGAGGACCCAGGTTCAGTTCCCAGCACTCACCTGACAGCTCACAACTGTCTATAATTCCAGTTCCAGGAGACCTGACATCCATGGCAAAACACCAATGCATGTAAAATAAATTTTAGAAAATGAAAACTGCACCGGGCGTTGGTGGCGCACACCTTTAATCCCAGCATTTGGGAGGCAGAGGCAGGCGGATTTCTGTGAGTTCGAGGCCAGCCTGGTCTACAAGAGCTAGTTCCAGGACAGCCTCCAAAGCCACAGAGAAACCCTGTCTTGAAAAACCAAAAAAGAAAAAAAAAGGAAAAGAAAAAGAAAACTGCAGCCAAATGGAACTAGAAAAAAAATCATCCAAAGTGAGATAACCCAGACCTAGAGAGACAAATATGGTATGTACTCACTTATAAGTTGGTGATAGCTATAAAATAAAGGATAACTATGCTGCAATCCACAGACCCAAAGAGGCTAAGTAACAGGAAGAGCTCGAGGTGGGGGGGCATGGCTCTCCCTGGGAAGGAGAAATAGATTTCATGGATGGACTATGGGCAGGTGGGGATGGGAGCAGGGGGGATCAGGTGTTGTGGAGAGACTACCAGGAGAGACAGCTGGAATTGGGAGGTATTTAGGGGTAAGGTACAAGCCCAGTGCAATGGAAACTCCTTGCAACCTACAGGCGTGGCCCTAGTGAAGACCCCTAGTGATGGGTGTGGAGCCTGCTGCCTGCATGTCCAGCAACCAGAGGCTGAACAGCCCAGAGACCCAGGGTAGAACCAAACATGACTGGCCAAAAAGCCGCCAACCATTCCTAATGATAGTTTGCTATGTTCATAGACCAGAGCCCAGCATAATCATCATCAGAGAGGCTCCATTGAGAAACTGATGGGAACAGATGCAGAGACCCACGGCCAAGCATTAAGCGGAGCTCGGGGAACCCCGAAAAAGGGAGGAGGAAGGATTGTAGGGGCTAGAGGGGCCAAGGATACCTCAAGAACACGGCCCACAGAATCAACTAGCCAGGTCTCATAGGGGCCCACAGAGACTCAAACGACAATCAGGGTCTGAGCTAGATCCATGTATGTATGTGTATACATGTATGTATGTTTATATATTGGTTGTGTAACTTGGTCTTCTTGTGGGATTACTAACAGTGGGAAAGAGGACTGTCTCTGTCTCATTTGCCTGCTTTTGGGACTTTTTCCTCCTACTGGATTGCCTTGTCCAGCCTTGATATGTAGAGAGGTGCCTAGTCTTATTGTAACTTGTTATGTCATGTTTGGTTAATACCCCTTGAAGGCCTGCCCTAGGAGGGAAATATAGGAGGAGTGGATCGGGGGAAGGGGAGAGGTGTGGGGTAGGGACTGGGAGGAGAGGAAGGAGGGGAAACTGTGGTTGGGATGTAACATATGAGAGAAAAATAAATAAGGAAAACAAAAATATTTGTTATGATTCATAACAGCAAAATTATAATTATAGAGTAGCAACAAAAATAATTTTATGTTTGTGGGGATCACTACAATATGAGGAACTGTATTAAAGGGTCTCAGCATTAGGAAAATTTAAACTGGGCATGGTGGCTCACGATTTAATCCCAGCCAGCACTCCAGAGGCAGAGGAAGGTGGATCTTTATGAGTTTGAGGCCAGCCTGGTCTACAGAGTTCCAGGACATCCAGGGCTACACAGAGAAACCCTGTCTCAAAAAACAAAAAAAGAAAAAAGAAGAAAAAGAATAAAGCAAACCAACACTTTTGTTTTATTGTGTAGATCTAGAGGTCAAATTTGGAGCCTTAAGCATGCCAGACAACGACCTACCACTGACCTCCATTCCTAGTCCAGAGCAAATATTGTATCAGATTGTGTCCAAATAGGACTAGTTAAGATCAGATCGTTTAGAGCTCGTTTACTTAGCAAGATGACTTCCGGAAATGTGTCCTGCAGGTGTACAAAGTAACATATTCTCAGGTGCCCGCTGCATTATGGGAAGACTTGTCCAGTACTGGAGCAAATACTCATAATCCCATAGCTCTTGGAAGGCAGAGACAAGAGATTAAGAAGGTTCCAGACCAACTAGGTCTACATAGGAAGTTCCAGGACTTCCAGGGCTACACAAAGAAACCTTGCCTCAAAAAGCCAAAAACAACAAAAAACAAAGGTGTATGCCACTACACCCACACTGGGTGCTAAGTATTTTATTTTTAAATGTTTTAAAAACATTTATTTTATGTGTATGAATGCACCCACGAGTGCCTGGGAGTTACAGATGATTATAAGCCATCATGTGGGCGCTGGAAATCAAACCCAGGTCCTCTGCCGAGTAACAAGTGCTCTAAATGACTGGGCCACCTCTCAAGCCCTAAACGAAGTATTTTAAAATAATCTGAATTGCAAGGTATTTCCTCTTTGCTGACCTCCTTTACGCTCCAAACACAGAAACTCCTCTACCTCATGGTGTCACACTCCCAGAGCCCATCACTCTCCACTAAATACTGTCAACCCCGTTCCGTTGCCCAGGGAGCAAATGTTCAAGACCTTTACCAAGAGTTTCCTTGAGTATAAACTATGTCTCCTAAAAACATTCTGCCACCTACTCCACTGAATTACGATGCGTACGGGGGTCCAGGGGTGCCTCTATTTCCCCATCCCAAAGGCAACACAGGGATTAAAGGACCTTTGCTCATCCTGCCACTATCCCCCCCAAGTAGGGTGCGGTGGACGTCAGAGCTCTGGAAGCGGTCTGTCCCTGAGAAGAGCTCATGGAGAAACACTGGATAATGGTTATTGGTGAGTACTTTTTGGTCTTTTACCTCTCAGGAAAGGGACCGTACTGGTGGTGAGGTAGTTTGCTAGGTCAGTCTGGTTCGCTTCATTGTGGTGTGCGTACGTTTCTAAACGTCATCAAGTGCACGTCAGAGATAGGGAAGATATTCCGTTTCCTATTGTGCTATAATGAGGCCGGGGCTCCCTGGCCATGTCTAGCTGATGCCTGGGGAGAACAAGAGTTCCCTGCATCTTGGGGGTGGGGAGAAAGCACAGCCATCAAGCATTCCTGGGCAGTGGGTTTGAGTGTGTGGCGGGGGTGGGGAGTGGGGGGAGGGGTTCGACTTCCCGGGCTGAAGACGGGCCCTAAGGGGAAAAAAAAAAACCTCTTCAATTCAGGGCGACTGGGCACCATAGTAACTCTGACTCTGGTTTGGAAAATCCGTGTCCTACGATTTTCCTCATTTAGGAATAACCAACACGTATTCAACGACCAGGTTGGAAACTTGGTTTGAGTGTTTTGCCTGCACGTACGATATTCTACAGCTAAGCTCTGCTACAAAAACACGCCGCGGGACACATACGCACATACGTGCGCATCAGCAATGACGCGCACCACACATTACCCACTGACGACACGCAGAAACAAGCAACACCACACAGGCAGAACCAAGTGCACTTGGACCTGGGGCAGGAAGCGGTTCCATACCCACGACCTTCCCTAAAATACCGGGGCCAGAGAAGGAAGGGAGGATGCGGGTGGGCAGGTGCGCACTCGGCCCCGCGCTCGGACACGGCCACCAAGCCCCACTCCGCTCCCATCCGCGTTCCCGATTAAGTACGCACCTTGGACAGGCATCATCCCGAAGACCGACCTGCCCAAACGCCCTCCCGGGCGGACGGCACCTGGCCGCCCGAGCGCGGCGGACCCAAAGCCCCACATCTAAAGGAAAAGGCATCGCGGGCCAGTGGGCTCGGAGAGGAGATGAGACGCGCTCCCAGGGAGCAAGCGAGAACGACCGTGGGAGTGGGAGCCAGCCTGTCCCCTGCCCCTGTCCCGCGAGCCTTACTGATCCGTGTGCTGCGGCTGGCGGCTGTGCGGCGTCCCCCCTGCCCTGCGCCGCGGCCTCACTGAAGTAGTACCGGACGCCCCCGGCCAGGAGCGGGCCCCGGCTCGGGTGACCCCAGCCTCCCCGCCGGCGGTGGCTGCCCGCGCGGCTCAGCGCGCTCTGCAGAGCCCTCATGGAGCGCATGCCCCCGGCGCGCCACCCGCTCTGCCCGGGCGCTCCAGACGTGCGAGCGAGCGAGCGAGCGGCGAGGAGGGAGGGGCGGAGAGTGGCGGGCGAGCCCAGGAGTGGGGATACAGTCCCGCGGCCAGCAGAGCGGGTGAGGTAAGGACCGGCCGGGTGGGTGGGGTTGGGGCCGGGGGAGGGGCCAGTCCCGGGGCGACTCCGAGCCCGCAGGTGCGCCCGTAGCCCCTGGGCCGCCTCCAGCCAGGAGTGCCACGGGTTCGAGACTGAAGCCGCTAGAAACCGCTGGGTGGGGAGAGGGCGGGCCCTGGAAGCAAGATGGACAGGGCTCGCGCCCAATCATCGGGAAGAAGCGCCTCAGGAGGCGGGGAGAGTCAGGTGCCAGCGCCCGCGGACTCCCGCGCACGTCACTGCGGTGCTGGGGAGAGAAACCCCCAGTCGGAGTTCGAGGAGACGCGGCCGGCCTGGGGACGATGGAATTCTCTTGGTGCAGACGAAAATGCTACTCGAGAGAGAAAAAAAAAGACGAGCGCGAGCTGCGGGCTGCAGGAGCCACCTAGTGACCGTGGGGCGCGGCGCGCCGGGGGCAGATGCGGCCGGTACGCCCTAAACCGCTGTGCGAGCTGCGGGCTCAAAGCACCCCAGTCACGGACGCGCGCTGGGGTGAGTGGGGAGCGAACCCGTCCAGAGACAGCCGCGCTTCAGGTCGAGTCGTTACGGTGCTGGTTTCCTGGTGTTGTCCCCCACAGTTTATTTGGTGGCTGCGGAGGACTTATCTTTCCGTACAGTTCATGCATTAAAATAAGCCAGCGAACACGAAGACCTTTTTTTGTTGTTGTTGTGTTAGAGAGAAGGTCTCGTGAAGGAGCCCGTGTTGCCTTAGCACTCAATTTGTAGCCAGGGTTGGTTTCGAACTCCAGGTAAACTTCTGCCTCAGCTCTTCTCAAATGCTGGGATCACAGGTGTGTGCAACACACACGCATACACACACACACAGAGAGAGAGAGAGACAGAGAGAGAGAGAGAGAGACAGAGAGACAGAGAGACAGAGAGAGAGAGAGAGAGAACACAAAACATTACATAAGTGCTCCCCCAATTTTGTCTTTTCACTTTTGAGACTGGGCCTCTCTATGTAGCCCTGGCTGCCCTTTCCCTTTCCCTAGGTAGACCAGGCTGGTCTCAAATTCAGATCCACCTGCGTTAGCCTCCACAGTCCTGGGATTAAAGGTGCACACCACCACGCCTGGCCCAAGTTTGTCTGTTTTGACCTATCCCTCTCTTTCTCTTCGATGGGGAAAATACACAGGAATTTTTGAGAATAAGGGTGTGCTGCTCAGAATTCCCGTAGTCCCAACGCATGGAGGCAGGCAGCTCCGAAGTTCAAGGCCATCTGCAACCTAGGGAGTCCAAGGTCAGCGTGGGCCGCCCGAGAGACCTCACACAGGTGGCCACTGCACCTCACAGCACTTTTGTTTGGCAGGAGTTATACTAAGTGTGAATTATTCAGCGTGTTTCTCTCTCCTCAGCAGTGACCTATGGAGCAATTAGGCCTGTTTTGAAGTGAGAACAGAGAGGCCTCAGGGGGTAAAGGCACTTGTTGCTAAGTCTCATGGCTGCCTACCCTCAACCCCTGGAGCCCACATGGTGTAGTGGACGAAGAGAGCTGACATAGACAATGGCTCTCACGGCCCCCCCAGATAAATATTTTTAAGAACCTTTAAAAAAAACATTTATTTATTATGTATACAGTGTTCTGCCTGCATGTATCCCTGCAGGCCAGAAGGGGGCGCCGATCTCATTACAGTTGGTTATGAATCACCGTGTGGTTGCTGGGAATTGAACCCAGGACATCTAGAAGTTCAACCAGTGCTCTTAACCTCTGAGTCATCTCTCCAGCCTTTAAAAACCGTTTTAATGAAAAGAAAGTTAAGATTGCTTGCATAAGATAACCCAGAGCAGAAATTAGACACAAATCTAGGATTACAAGCTTTTTCTTCCATGCAGCCTTCTCCAAAATTGACAACTGAGTTAACCCAGGAGAAAACTACCTCACTCCTGAAAAAGGTTATTTTATGCTATGAGATAGTACTGAATGCCGCCTCTTGAGTTGCCTGGGTTATGTTATTAAACTCTAAATTTTCATTTTTGAGTTTAAATGACCATGATACTGACCAGGAGTGGTAGTGTGCACTCCCGACATCTGAGAAGCTTAGACGGGAGGACCAGGAGGGCAAACCCGGTTAAGCTATGTGAGGAGAACTTGCCACAAACAAAATGTAACCACAGGAAAATAAATATCAAACCATGCTTACGTGTACGATAGGACTGTGGCTCTTTTTACTGTTTGGAGTAGGTATTTCTTTTGAAATCAGGTGGACTGATTTGTTTGTTTTTCCATCTGTTAACCATTCCCTGCATGACTTATCGGCTCTCCTATCCGGAGGACTTCCTCTAGTTCAGGAACTACAGCTGGGTGCACTACTCCTGACTTGGCCTGAAAGCAAACTTCTTGGTTTTTGCTTTTCAGATAGGGTGTCTCTTAGAGTGCTTTTGAATTTACTGTCCAAGGATGATTTGAATCTCTGATCCTTCAATCTTGAGGGCAGGGATTGTAGGCCCGCAGTCACCTTGCCCCGGGGTTATTCCAGGCTAGGGGCTAAACCAAAGAATTCCTACCCGCTAGGCAAACCATACCCAATAGGCAAACACTACCAGTTGAACACCCCAATCCATGTTTTTTGAGATGGGGACTAGTTATATTGCTGGGCTCAAATTTAACTCCTCCTGCCTCAGTCTCCTGAGCAGCTGAGATTATACACATCTGTAACACCACGCCTGCATTTAATTAAGAGCTGTACTACTCTGTGAGTTCGAGGCCAGCCTGGTCTACAAAGCAAGTTCCAGGACAGCTTCCAAGACAATACAGAGAAACCCTGTCTCGAAAAACAAACAAACAAACAAACAAACAAACAAACAAACAAAAAGATCAGAGGGTGACATCAGGTGTCTTTTTCAGTGGGTCTTCATCTTGTCTGCTTTGCCCAGCAGGTGGCAGTGTTTCTCCTAGTATTCTTTGAGGCTCTCTTTTTCATTGGAGACACTCTACAAAGAATGAAAATTACATTCTATCAGCAAGCATTCTTGAATCTAAATTATATTTGGATGGTGTCCTTGGTTTCTGTCTTTTTTAAAAAGTTATTTGGGGACAGGGAACCTTACTTGAGAAAATGCCTAAATCAGAACAGCCTGCAGGCCGGTCTGTAGGGCATTTTCTTAATGATTGATGTGGGAGGGCCCAGCACACCCTGGGCAGGTGGTCCTGGGCTGTATAAGAAAGCAGGTTGAAGTAAGCAACAGCATTTCTCTGTGGCTCCTGCTTGAGTTCCTCCCCTGAATTCCCTTCATGATGGACTGGGATCAGGAGAGTAAGTGGAAATAAACCCTTGCCCACCCCAGTTTAGGTTGTGCTGTTTTCTTACAGCAATAGAAAGCCAAGACAGGTAGTAAAGATTTAGAGATTAGCCTCAAGGTGGTAGCCAGCTACAGGCCTTTAATCCTAGGACTTAGGAGGCGGAAGCAGGCAGATCTCTGAGTTCGAGGACAGCCTGGTCTACAGAGTGAGTTCCAGGACAGCCAGGACTACACAGAGAAACCTTATCTTGAAAAACAAAGCAAGCCGGGTATTGGTGGCACATGCCTTTAATCCCAGTACTCTAGAACCAGAGGCAGGTGGATCTCTGTGAGTTCAAGACCAGCCTGGTCTACGAGAGCCAGTTCCAGGACAGCCTCCAAAGCCACAGAGAAACCCTGTCTCAAAAAACAAAACAAACAAAAAAACAAACTAAAGAGTTCCTACTTTGTCAGTGTTCACAATCTGGGAATCTGGGAGATATGAGATGGGGGCTGCCCTATACCTCAGGGTTAGAGCGCTTGCCCAGTATACAAGAATCCTGGATTTGCTTTTCAGAACTGCGGAGGGGTGGATAGTTGAGCTGGGTGTGGAGTATGTGGTGGCTGATCTTGCCAGTCAATCTGACACGCCTGGGAAGAGAGAACAGTTGGAGAGTGGCCTCCATCAGCTTGTCCTGTGAGCATGTCTGGGGCATTTTCTTGATTGCTAATTGATATAAGAGAATCCACCCCACTGTGGGCAGCAGGTGAGCCCATGCTGTGTCAGAAAGGTAATGGAGCAAGCCAGCAGGAACAAGTCAGTAAGCATGGTCTCTGCCTCAGTTTCTTCCTTGTATTCCTTAGTGAGGGTTATGGCGTGGAAGAGTGCCCTGGCTGTTTTCCTGTCAACTCAACACAAGCCGGAGTCATCAGAGAGGAAGGAGCCTCAGCTGAGGAAGTGCCTCCACGCGATAGATCCAGCTGTAAGGCATTTCTCCATTATTGTTTTGTTTTTGTTTTTTTGAGACATGGTTTCTCTGTATTGTTTTGGAGCCTGTCCTAGAACTCGCTCGGTAGACCAGGCTTGGTCTCAAAATCACAGAGATCCGCCTGCCTCTGCCTCCCGAGTGCTGGGATTAAAGGTGTTTGCCACCACCGCCCGGCTGGTATTTCTCCATTATTGATCAATGCCTGAGGGCCCAGTTCATGCCAGTCCTGCTGGTCCTGGGTTCTATAAGAAAACTGGTTAAGCAAACCAGTAAGCAGCCCTCCTCCGTGGCCTCCATCAGCTGCTGCCTCCAGGTTCCTGCCCTGTTTGAGTTTCTGTTCTGACTCCTTCAGTGATGACAACGATGTGGAAATGTAGGCCAAAAGAGTCTTTACTCCTCAACTTGCTTTTTGGTGCTGGTGTTCCCTTGCAGCAACTGAAACCCTAACTAAGACAAAGAGTAAGCCCAATAAACCCTCTGCTCCCCTAAGTTGCTCTGCTTCTCACATAAAATCTCAGTACTGAGGAGGCCAAGCTGAGAAACTGAGTCCCATCCCAGCCTGAATATATATCGAGAACTTGTCTCAAAATAAATAAATACAAACTTCAACCTAAAAGAGGCGAAAATGGGGCTCTTACAAATCTAACAAAAATATTCCAGTGAGTGGATGTGGTACCGCACCCCTGTAATGCAATGCCAGCACTTGGGATGCAGGGACAGAATCAGCCGTTCAAGGTCATCCTCCACAGCCAGTCTAAGGCCAGGCAGGACTATGTAAGTCCCTATCGGGTTTTTGTTTTTGTTTTTCAAGACAGGGTTTCTCTGTGTAGTCCTGCTGTCCTGGACTCTCTGTAGACCAGGCTGGCCTCCGCCTGCCTCTGCCTCCTGAGTGCTGGGATTAAAGGCATGTGCCACTACTGCCCGGTCATAAGAGCCTATCTTTTAAAAAATATATTAAAAAGTCAGGTGTGGTGGCACTTGCTCATCTTAAGCAAATATGATAGAATCTAGGGTCAGAAATTCTAGATTCCTAGCTGGCATGAATACATACACTTGTAATATGTTCTGGAGGCTACAGCAGTTTGTTTGCCATGACCCCTAGCAAATTTTTTAATTGTTTGACAGTTATATACAAGGTATTGTTTGTTAAGGCTACTTCAAATTAATAGGTTTATTATTATTATCATCATTATTATTATTATTTGCTGTTTGTTTCCAGGCACACTGGGGATTGAACCTAGGTCCTATGCATGTGTGGCAAATGTTCCACCATTGAACTATGCTCCTGGCCCTCAGTATTTTGGCTCATTGTCATCCTCATGGTCTTACATTTATTTGCTATATACCAATGTAACCATATGAAGTTAGCAGTATTCAATGATAAAAATATTGAAATTTGATCCATAAATATAGTAGTAGTTTAATCTGGTCGAACCTACTAGTTGAATTGAGGTCATGACCCCTTCTGGGATCATTGGAGTTACTTGATTTAGAGATAGCTAGGACGAGGCAAAATTAGTATCTCAGGTGTGAAGAAAACACATGAATGGAACCAAGTCTTTAATCCCAGCATTTGAGAAGCAGAGGCAGGCAGCTCTCTGAGTCTGAGGCCAGTCTGGTCCACATAGTAAGTTCTATGACAGTCAGTGCTATATAGTAAGGCCCAGTCTCAAAAAGTAGGAGGGCAGGGGAGGTGAGGGGGGAGCTGGAGAGATGGTGGCTCAGCGGGTAAGAGTACTTGCTGCTCTTACAGAGGTCCCGAGCTCTCTCTTCCTCTTTTCAGGCATAGGCACACACGTGTTTTTTTGTTGTTGTTTGGGTTTTGCTTTGGTTTGTTTTGGTTTTTTGAGACAGGGTTTCTCTGTAGTTTTTGGAGACTCTCTTTGAAGACCAGACTGTCCTCAAACTCACAGAGATCCTCCTGCCTCTGCCTCCCGAGTGCTGGGATTAAAGCCGTGTGCCACCACTGCCCAGCTGAGGCACACACGTGTTATACATTGTGTGCACATATATGTGGTTAGGCAAACACTTGTCTTCTCTATGGGTCACTTTCCTGTGTTCTTCTCTTTTTTGCTGTTTGACACAGACTTACATAGTCCAGGCTGCCTTGAAGATGGTGGAGGAAGATGACCTTGAACTCCAGATCTCCCTTCCTCCCCTCCCAAGTGCTGGGAATACACTTGAGTGCCACCATACCTGGCTTTGCATGGTGCGAGGCTCAAGCCCAGGGCTTCACTCATGATAGGCAAGTGCCTCACCAGCTATATCTTCAACCTTCCTGGCACTCACTCTGTAGACCTGGAACTCACAGAGATCCACCTGCCTCTGCCTCCTGAGTGCTGGGGTCAAAGGGCATGCACCACCCCTGCCCACTGAGACTGTTTTGTTTTGTTTTAAATGTGGTGGAGAGATGATGACTCAGAGGCTAAGAGTGCTTACTATTTCCCCGGAGGACCAGTGTATGATTTCCAGTGCCCACACCGCTGCCTGTAGCTCCAGCTGCAGGAAATCTAGCGCCCTCTTCTGCCTTTGGCAGGCACATACACACCGTCACAAAAATAAAAAGTTGTTCTGATTTTTTTTTTTTTGGTTTATTGAGATAGACTCTCACTTTGTAGCCCTGGCAGTCTTGGAACTCAGTCTGTAGACCAGGCTGGCCTCAAACTCAACAAGGATCTACCTTCCTCTGCCTCCCAAATGCTAGGAGTGTGTGCCAGCATACCCAGCAAGAGTAAGTGCTTTTCCCCACCAGGACATGTTCTAGAGAAACTCCAAGTCTATACTGAATCAGGATGTAAAAATGTCTCTTTTCCTAAATGACATTACAGATAATTTCTACTCCCTCTCTCTGAAAAGCAGCTCTTAGCCTGGGCACAGTGGCACTGCCTATAACCTCACCTCTTGGGGAGGATAATTAGGAGTTTGAGTTGGAAGCCAGGCTGAGCAGCACAGTGAGGGGCCCCCACAAGAAAATAAGTAAGTAAATAAATAAAGCAAAAACTAAAGAACTCTAGTGCTGGGCTCATGAGAACTAGTAGTTAGAGATTGACTAGATCTAGAAAAACGTGAGCAATATAATGAAGATGACAGAAAATGCTGGAGGCTTAGGATTCTCTCTTTCGAATATACTTCCTGAGCAGAGCCCCAGAACCTGATGCTTCCCCATCTCCTTCACAAGAATCCATACCTCCCTTTAAAGATGTAGGTAGACACACTCTATTGGACTTGGACTTGAATCCCAGCACCACAAACAGATGTGTATGTACTCACTGGAACTGCAGTTTCTAGTTGGTATTGTTCATGCTGTTTGACCTAATTTGTAAGTGAGTATATCTGGGATGCCTTACTTCTGTGGCCCTAAATTTACTGGACAGACTAAAAAATGCAGCAGTATATCCAGGGGGAAGTATGATTTTTTTAAAGATTTATTTATTTATTACATATACACCAGATTGAATTGTAGGTGGTTGTGAGCCATCATGTGGTTGCTGGGAATTGAACCCAAGACCTCTGGAAGAGCAGTCAGTGCTCTTAACCTCTGAGCCATCTCTCCAGCCCCCGGGAAGTATGATTTTTATGCATCTCAAGATTTTAAACTGTTTTTATATTTTTTAAAATGTTTTCCTTTTGCAGCTACAGGACTATTTTTATCAGAGTTTGAAAGGAAAACAGGGCAGGCAATCGATCAATCTTGGCAGACGCCTGGAGGAGGTGGTGGATTATGAGACAGAAAGAAAGTTAATGCCTTTTGAGTTAGGATCCCAGAAAGCAGGCATCAACAGAGGTCTGCAAGCAGCTGCACCAGACAGAAAAAGACTTTCCTCCCTGCAGAGAAAAAGTGAGAATGTCCAGAGTGAGGGAAATGTTGCTTGGGATCTAAGACAGCAATCAAGGAAGAGAGAAAAAAGGAGGGGAAGTCATTCTTTTTTAGTTAGAACTCAGAAAAGTGGGTAGGCTTAGTTGTGAAGATCTGCAGACAACTACCAAACTTACCTGATGTTTTCCTGGTGTGTAGTTGAGCCTCCTTGGTCCATCCTAGAACAGGCTTTATTTTCTAATAGGATTTCACTATGCAGCCCTGGATTGGAACTCCGTATAGATCAGGTGTGTCTGGAACTGTGGCATTCCTCTTGAGTGCTAAGAGGACAGGTGTGAACCTCACTTCCCTTAGTCCTACAATAGTCTTAGTATTTAAGATGCTTTAGATTTCAAACCAGGTGGTGGTGGTGGTAGTGGTATATGCCTTTAATCCCAGCACTTGGGAGGTGGAGACAGGTGGATTTCTGAGTTTGAGGTCAGCCACCTGCTCTACAGAGTGAGTTCCAGGACAGGTTCCCAAGATAAAAAGAGAAACTGTCTCAAAAAGCCAAAAAAGAGAGTTTACATTTATCATTATTGAGAGTGTATGTGTGCTTGGACAAACACGTATTGTGATAAATGTACGGAAACCTGAGGACACCTCTGGAGAGTTGGTTCTCTCTCCACTGTGGTTCTGGGTTTTGAACTCAGGCTTTCAGGTTTGTGAAGCAAGTATCTTTACCATCTTGCCATCCCATAGTATAATCTTTGTTTTTCAAGACAGGGTTTCTCTGTGGCTTTGGAGGCTGTCCTGGAACTCTCTCTGTAGACCAGGCTAGCCTCAAACTCACAGACATCCTCCTGCCTCTGCCTCCCAAGCTCTGGCTGAGACTAAAAGCGTGTGCCACTACTGCCCGGCTTCCATAGTATAATCTTGACTGTAACTAAGATAGTTTTCAGAAATGCTCTCTTAAGGTCTTCAGTGTTAGAGTGTTAGTTACATGATACTCCCAGGGATACATACTAGGAGACAGTACCGAGTCATAATGGGACTGACATCTGGGTGTTTACTAAGTGTCCAGAACTTCCCTACAAGCTGCATAGATGCTGTTGCTTCATTTTGTTTCGTGTACAGTGATAGGAAATAGGTAATTACTTCCTTTTTTTTTTTTTTTTTTGGTTTTTTGAGACTGGGTTTCTCTGTATGTATTGTTTTGGAGGCTGTCCTGGAACTTGCTCTGTAGATCAGGCTGCCTCTGCCTCCCAAGTGCTGGGACATTTCCCTCATTTTACAAATGAGAAACATTTGAGATACAAGGGACTGTTTTTAAAAAAGCTAAAGATTGGTATGATAGCTTAGCAGGTAGAAGCACTTGTGCGTGGGTCTGGGACCTGAGTCCAGTCCCCCCCCACAGGTAACTGGAGGGAAATAGCTCTGGGAACAGTTTGAGAGTTGTTCTGTGACTACAAGCACACTATGGAGTTTGTGTATACAGAGACACACACAAATAAAAGTAAATCTTTTATTTTACGGTTTCAGACATGTGAAGTAGTTTTCTCAGGGTCTCTTAGCTTTTGAGTTGAAGGACTGGACTAAATTGTTAACAAAACTCTGCCTCTAGGCAGAAAGAAAATGTTTTCATCACAAATGATAAATGTTTGAAGGGACAGATGTTTAACCTGATCTAAATACTATACAATGTATACTTTTATAAAAACATTGACTGATGTTGGTTAGTATGTATAACATTGATGCTTTTATGTTTCAGTTGCAAGTTAAAGCAGGCTGTAGTAACTCATGTCCATCCCAGGAGGAAAGAAAGCTGCAGCATTGAGCTTGAGGCCAGTGGAGGCTGCATAGTGAAACTTGGCTCAAAATAAAATAAAACAATTTTCCTTTTTAAAAATTAGACGGGTGGTGGTGGTGCATGCCATTAATCCCAGCACTCAGGAAGCAGAGACAGGCGGATCTCTGAGTTCAAGGTCAGTCTGATCTACAAAGTGAGTTCCAGGACAGCCAGGACTGTTTACACAGAAAAACTCTTGGGGGAAAAAAACAAAAAAGAAAAGAATAAAAGCCAGGCAGTGGTGGCACGTGCCTTTGATCCCAGAACTCTGGAGGCAGAGGCAGGTGGATCTATGTGAGTTAGAGACCCAGCCTGGTCTACCGATGAGTTCCAGGACAGGCTCCAAAACAATACAGAGAAACCCTGTCTGGAAAAAAAAAAAGAAAAGAATAGGACCCAATTATTTTTGTATTTTTGGGGGACGGGTTTCTCTGTATAACAGCTCTGGCTGTCTGCAACATTTTTGGAGACCAGGCTGGCTTCAAACTCATGGATATGCCCGCCTCTGTGGTTAAAGATATGCATCACCATGCCTGGCTACTTATTTATCTATTTGAGACAAGGTCTCACTATATAGCCTGGCTAGTCTGGAACTGGCCATGGTGAGCTACCACTTAATATCATTTAGGATAACTGTTCTAAAACCACAAGAATGAGTTGTGTATGATGAATGAAAATTTCTGAGGGTGGAAAAGGAAGTTCTTGAAAAATTCGGTGTCCCTGAGAGATGCTATTATTTACTTATTTACTGGGCTGGACTGCCGTTCCCATTCTCAGTTGCAATTCCCACATTGAGGCTGTCCCCACCCTTCCTGTGTCCCTTGAGTTGAGCAGGCACTTCCTGTCCTGTTATAAATGAAAGTTAGCGTTGGGGGTAGCTGCGCATTTGTGTATTTACTCTGCAGAATGCTGGTACTGTCTGTTCGGCTATTACAGCAAAATAGGGACGAGAAAACCAGAGAGCAGGACTTCTTCCTAGAGTTTGGGTTGCATGTCCGTTGTGACAAAGACGGTTAATTTACTTCTGGAGAGTGTGTGATGGCATCCAGGAGGCCTGAGGAAGGGCTCTGAAGCCGGCTAGTCTCCCTCCCTGCTCTAATTGGATGGGTAGGCCTCCTTGGTGTCATTCTTAACGGTTTATTTTCTTGTTACTACTGCTCCCAGGGCATATTGGAGGTGACTGTTACTGTGGCAGCGTGAGATTCTTGACTCCTAAGTTCTGTTCTTTCTTTCCTAAAAAGTCTCATATTTTCCTCCTTAGTGAAACATGCTTTTTAAAGAGTTGTGGTGTTTGTTTGTTTGACAGGTCAGAGACGACATCCTAAGTCCCTGAACTTCATTCAGCGTGGCTATCAATTCCGTACCTGGTGAGTTTTCCTACTTGTTTAATCTTCAGGGGTTTTAAGGGCTAAGAAATGATAGAGTACAGAGTCAGAGTTGGGCAAGATTGTATAATTGTTACCTAGCCCCCAGGAAAGCAGGCAGGAGGATTAGGAATTCTTTATCTCTGACTATGTGGAACTCAGTGACAGCTTGAGACCCTGTCTCAAGAGTCTCAGACAGGGCTGGAGAGCCGATTCGGTGGTTAAGAGTTAATCCAGAGGACTCAGGCTTGATTTCCGCACCCCCACGGTGGGGTGGCTCACAAACATCTGTAGCTCCAGTTCTAGGGAATCTGATGCCCTCTTCTGATGCCAGGAACACATGCTGTATATAATACTCAAACAGTTAAATGAACTAACTTTAAAAAGAGAGCTCTAAGTGTAAATTGGAGGGCTGAGGATGTGGCGCAGGGGTACAGGGCTTGGTCACCTAGCACTGCCCAAAGAAACAGCCAAAACCAAACCAAACACACACACACACAAAATGAGGCATGGTTGTGCATGTATATGCCAATAATACCACACTACGGCATCTGGGGAGGGGGAAACTGAGTTTGAGTCTGTGAGAGCTACGGAGCGAGACCCTATCTTACATAAAAAAGTACATAGCCCAGCATTGGTAGAGCACCTCTTTAATCTCAGCACTCAGGAGGCAGAGGCAGGCAGATCTCTGTGAGTTCAAGGCCAGCCTGGCCTACAGAGTTCCAGGACAGCCTCCAAAACAATACAGAGAAACCCTATCTCAAAAACAAAACAAAACAAAAAACTAATAAACTTAAAGAAGACAGCTTTCACTTGGGCTGAAGACATTGCTTTGTGTAGTCTGGTAGAAGATACTGTAGCCTTTTGTTTTGATCTCTGCTATCACAAAAAAAAATCAGGAGGCAATGGCATACACCTTTAATCCCAGCACTCAGGAGGCAGAGGCAGGCTGATCTCTGTGAGTTCAAGACCAGCCTGGTCTATGGAGAGAGTTCCAGGACAGCTACACTGAGAAACCCTATCTCCAAAAAATCAAAAACAAAAAATAAAATAATAATAAAAGGGCTTTTACTCGTTCAAAAAAATTAAAAAGCACTGAGCTTCATGAAATTGCTCTGATTGATGATTGTTGTTTTTTGCTGGGATTAAAGGCATGATCCCCCACGCCTGGCTGAGGATGCCTTCCTAAGTGTGAACTTCTTGCTGAGAGAATCTGAAATGGGAATGCTGGCATAGCCTGTCAGTGTACTCACCTTTGTTCTCTTTTGTTAAATGGTGTGTGTGTGTGTGTGTGTGTGTGTGTGTGTGTGAGTGATTGGGGGTACGCATGCAGCAGCATGTGTGGAGATCAGAGAACAACTTCCAGAGTGGGTTCTCCTTTTACCATGTGGTTCCCAGAAGTTGAGTCCAGATCTTTGGGCATCTTCACTGTTGAACCATCATCCAAGCAAGAGAAGAGAATGCATAGCCCAGGCTGGCCTGCGCGTGTGACCAGGCTGGCCTGCGAGTGTGACCAGGCTGGCCTGTGCGTGTGATCCTCTGCCCTTTGGTGATTTCCTCAACATGAGCTACAGCCAGAGCTCTCCCACAGTACATCACCATCCCCAGGCCATCGTCTTTCTTTCCAGCAGCATCATTGCTTTATTTATTTATCTCCTTATCAGGATCTGTTTTCTGGGCTGGAGAGACAGCTCAGCACTTAATGGCATTGGCTGCTCTTCCAGAGGACCAAGGTTCAGTTCCCAGCACCCACATGGTAGCTCAGAACTGCCTGTAACTCCAGTCCCAGGGGATCTGGCACCTTCACACAGATGTACATGCAGGCTAAACACCAATGCACACAAAAATTACCAAAAAAATCAATTTTTATCTTTTAAAAAGGTGTGTGTGAGCTGGGTGTTGGTGGCGCACACCTTTAATCCCAGCACTCAGGAGGCAGAGGCAGGAGGATCTCTGTGAGTTCCAGGACAGCCTCCAAAGCCACAGAGAAACCCTGTCTCGAAAAAAACCAAAAAAAAAAAAAAGGTGTGTGCGAGAGAGAGGGAGGGGAGAGGACAGAGAGAGAGAGAGAGAGAGAGAGAGAGAGAGAGAGAGAGAGAGAGAGAGAGAGAGCACATGTGAGAGTGAGAGATCACATGAGGATGTTGGTGTCCTTGGAAGCTGGAGGCAATAGAAGTGGTTGTTGTAAACCCCCTGGTATGGATGAGGGATGTCACCTGTGGTCCTTTGGAAGAGCAGCCAGTGCTCTTAACTCCTAAGCCCTCTCTCAAGCCTCCATGTTCTCTTAGTCCCTTAGGATCACCCTAAATACAAAGTAGTTTGAGCTCTGAGCTCATCTCACACAGTGTGTCTCAATATAGTTCTCTTTGCATTCTCTGGAAGGCAGAGTCAAGTGATTGAAATCTTAAAATCTTATGTATCATTTATTTTGTATGCGTATGTGTGGGCATACCACACTCGGTGCTTGTGAGGACCAGAGAACAGTTTTTGGTAGTTGGTCCCCTCCTTCTGCCTTGTAGATCTAGGGACCTAACTTAGGCTTGGCAACCTTTACTTCTAAACCATTTTGCAGGCCAAGCTTGAAGTCTTGCAGCTGAGATCCAAGGGAAAGAAAGTTCCAAATCAAAACAAAACAACAAGAAAAGCCTTTGTCTTTTCATGGATGATTGGAAAATTGTCTTTTTGTGATAATCAGAACTTGTTCATAGAGGAATGGTGATGCATTTGAAAAGGATTAGACCTAAGAAAGAACTTCTTTCTAACTATGTAAAAGAAATCCAAAAAGAACATCCTGGGCATTAGGACCCAGTGGAAGTGCTTGTCCTGACTCTCGGTTAACTTCTGTCAGTGACGTGAGGCAGACCTAGCTCATTCTTCCCCGCAGCCCCCCCTACACACACACACACACACACACACACACACACACACACACACTCTCTCTCTCTCTGTCTCTCTCTCTCTCCCTCTCTCTCTCTCTCTCTCTCACTCACTCCTTTTCTCCCCTTTCTCCTCCCCCTCCCTTCTCCCTATCCCTCCCTCTTTCCCTCCCTTCCTCTCTTCCCTCTTCTTTTACCCCCTCCTTCCTCCCTCTTTCCTCCCTCCCTTTCCCTCACTCTCTTCTTTCTCTCTCTCAACTCCCTAACAGTAAAGAAAAAATGCTGCTATCAGTGACTTCCCGGCCTGGGATTTCGACTTTTGGGTATAACAAGAACAACAAGAAGGTAGGAAACAGCTTTGGGGGAATCCAGCTACTTCCTCTGCTAGGGACCCGGGAGTGCCCTTGGGTTAGCATTCTCCTTTAAGAGGGGACCGAGATTCCTCTCCCTTCAGCCTCTCTTCCCCCTTCTTTCCTTGCCCTTTTGCACCTGGTTCTGGAGTTAAAGGAATTTAGAGCCAGGGTTTGTGAGGCTGGAGAAAGCAGGGGGAATAAGAGCAGTCAACTTTGCAACTTTGTATCTTGTGAAATGAAGTTTGTTTCACTGCTGCTGCTGTGTGTGTGTGTGTGTGTGTGTGTGTGTGTGTGTGTGTGTGTCATCCTAGACCTTGTCCCTGGGCTTCACTCCCCCAGATTATTTTATCATTTTGGTTAATTGCATCTACCCCTACCTCTATCCCATTTCTCTTCTTACTCAAACCAGATAGCTGAAACCAGGTAGCCGGAGAGGTCTCAGGGCTCATCAAGAATTGAGCGTGAGTGCTTCTAGACTAGAGACCCTACCCCACCCATCCTGGCAGAGGAATTTGGGGAGATAACATGCCTTGGGATTAAGGCAGAGAGCTCTGTGACTCTCTGGGTCTTGCCTCCCGAGCGGTGGCTTGGAACCCTGCAGATAGCCAGACTTAGCAAGGAGCCGTATGATTAACCCATGGTTGCCTGAGAAGGTAAGCAATAGTTCAGTGATCGGACAGCCTGGTGGGAGAGAGATGGACAATCTTGCCCGTCTTTGTCAGACAATATCCTTGGCAGTTTCTTGGCACTTTGTGGCATGCGATGCTGGAGAGGAGATGTTTACCCACCCTGAGCATTGTAGTTGTTCTTTCAGAGGTCCATGCTTAGCTTATCTGGTGGAATGTTGGAGGCAAACAGGGAAAGACTTCAAAAGATCATTTCAGAGACTCAAACACTGGTCTCATCAGGGCAGTAGTACCCTAGTGGGTCTTAGTTTATGTGGCATTCATTCTGTTTATATGCTTACGAAATAAAACACTACAGTAGGCAGGCAGTGGTGCAGGCCATTAGTCCTAACTCTTAGGAGGGAGAGGCAGGTGGATCTCTGAGTTCTGAGTTCAAGGCCAGCCTGGTCTGCAGATTGAGTTTCAGGACAGCCAGAGCTACACAGAAAAACTCTGTCTCGAAAAAAAAAGAAAGAAAGAAAGAAAAGAAAACAGAAAGCTCTACATATATTTTGATATATGTCATGTATCAATATGTATAATGTATAGACTAATGTTCTATCACATATATTATTCATATATATAAATATATATGTGCATTTGAAAGGGAGTCCATCTATCTTTATTCTCCTCAAATCTATATAGTACTATATAAAAGTTTCCTTCTCTTTTTTTGTAAGTTTTGGGGTTATCCCAGGCTGGCCTGGAATTTAGCTCTGTATCTCAGGATGGTCTTGAACTCACAGAGATCCACCAGCCTCTGCCTCCCAAGTCCTGGGATTAAAGGTGTGTGCCACCGCTGCGGGGCTTGTTGTTCCTGATTCTTTTTCCATCACAGGATACCCATTAAAATAAAACCAAATGAACTTTGTTTCAGGGGTTCATGTATTGAATACATCTAAAATGTCTTGTCTCTGCTCTCCATTCCCTTTGGATTATGAGAGGTGTTTAAGATTTAGATTCCGGTTTTTGTTTGGGGCGGGGGATGGATCTTACGGCCTTGCACATGCTAGACACCCAGTTGGCAACTAAGCAAACTGCCTGATGTTCAGATTCTAAGTCATAAGGTCTGGGTGGAGAGGCAGGGAAGTATCTACATTGTCACTAAT